TATATATATATATATATATAGATGTCTCTATATATAATATGTATATGTAATATGTATATTTATATATATGCTTGTTTTTTAACTCCTCTATTGCTTTATTTGTTTATTTTATTTAATTTCTTTTCTGTTTTTGTTTATTATTTTTTCTATGCTCTCCACTGACCGAACAAATTAATTGATTCTTCGATATACATATATATATAATATATATACATTATATTTATTTATTTATTTGTTTGTTTGTTTGTTTGTTTGTTTATTTGTTTAAAGGTATGCAAGCCTCTTCTTCATTGCATGCGTAGAAGCAAACGAAAATGCTTTACTTGTCCTCGAGTTAATTCATCATTATGTCGAAGTCCTCGATAAATACTTCGGAAATGTCTGCGAATTAGATTTAATTTTTAACTTTCATAAAGTAAGCCGCTTCTTCTGCTGTACATATACACCTGGTGTATGTACACTGTACTGTAGATTATATTATTATATATTAAACACAGGAGCTTTAATTAATTGAGCTTTAATTATTTTATCTTTAAAATTATTTTTTATCTCTTTTGTTTTATAGCCGCTGTCTTCATTTTTAGTTTTTTTCCATCAAAATGTTTGCTGCATGTACAGTTGGTGAATATTTTTGGCTTTATATTTTTTATGCTTTGTTTTTAATTCAAATACAATTGCTTTTAGTTATAAATAAATAAATATATATATATATATATATATGCGGTGTATGTACAGTACACGTCACACCTCTTTACGCGGGTGGCTTAGTAATGCATGCATGCATGCATGCTGTCTCTGTCTGCTGCTGTTTATATAAATAAATAAATAAATAAATAAATATATACATATATATATATATATATATATATATTCTATAGGCGTCTGCCGATGTAGACTGAGGATGGTCTTTGTGTATATTAATTGATTAGTATTTGTTGATAATTATTATTACTATTAATTTGTTCGTATTTATTTATTTGTTTATTTTAATATATTTATTAGGCATATTATTTACTTGATGAGGTAATATGTGGAGGCGAAGTGCAAGAAACAAGTAAAAAAACAATTTTAAGAATTGTCAGCGCTGAAGATGCACTAACCGAAGACTCAAGCGGTAAACCTTCAAAGTTAAGCTGAGCTAAATAAAGTAAGATATTTATTTTGTTATTTGTTTTCTTTATTTGTTTATTTATCTGTCTATCTATCTATCTATCTATCCGTCTGTCTGTCTATCTATCTATCTATCTATCTCTATCTACGAAGTTATTTGTTTATTTATTTATCTAGCTATCTGTCTATCTATTAAGCTATGCATTTATTTATTTATTTGTTTGTCTAATAAGTAAATAGATAAAGATATCAACAAAAAAACAAATACATGTTTAAATAAATTGTGCTGTTGTGATTAATGCTGTAATTAAATTAAATATAGAAAAGAATGCTTATATATATATATATAATATTAATATATAATATTAATTAATATTATATATTAATTTGCTAATTAACCGATTAATTAATTAATTAATTAATTAATTATATATATTTTATTTATTTATTTGTTTTATATTTTTTCTTTTAATGCATCTTTCTGTTTTTTTCTTCTCTTTTCTCACTGTCACGCAGGCAAACAGAAATACCTGTGAAATATAATGCAAGTCGCAGCACTTGCTGCAGCAGCTCCTGCTGCTGCTACTGCAGCAGAAGCAGCAGCAGCAGAAGCAGCAGCAGCAGCAGCAGCAGCAGCAGCAGCAGGAGCGTTGGGT